CTTCTTCCAAAGTAGAGTTTAAGAGAAGGGTTTAGAAGTAGATATCCCCACTGGCAAAAACTGACTAATCTTTTCAAAAAATTTTAAAATTTTTTATTTTTTAAAATTTATTTATTTATTTTTGACTGTGTTGGGTCTTCGTTTCTGTGCGAGGGCTTTCTCTAGTTGTGGCAAGTGGAGGCCACTCTTCATCGCGGTACACGGGCCTCTCACTATCGTGGCCTCTCTTGTTGCGGAGCACAGGCTCCAGATGTGCAGGCTCAGTAGTTGTGGCTCACGGGCCTAGTTGTTCCGTGGCATGTGGGATCTTCCCAGACCAGGGCTCGAACCCATGTCCCCTGCATTGGCAGGCGGACTCTCAACCACTGCGCCACCAGGGAAGCCCTAAAAATTTTTTATTTTTTTAAAAAATTTTATTTTATATTGGAATATAGTTGATTTACAATGTTGTATTGATTTACAATGTTGTGTAGAGCAAAGTGATTCAGTTATACGTGTACATATATCTATTCTTTTTCAAATTCTTTTCCCATTTATGTTATTACAGAATACTGAGTAGAGCTCCCTGTGCCATACAGTAGATCCTTGTTGTTTATCTATTTTATATATAGTAGTGTGTATATGTTAATCCTAAACTCCTAATTTATCACTCCCCTCACCTTTCCCCTTTGGTAACCATAGTTTGTTTTCTAAGTCTGTGAGTCTGTTTCTGTTTTGTAAATAAGTTCATTTGTATCATTAAAAACTGACTAATCTTGAGCCCTAGATGAGTTATGGTAAACCTTTGAATGCATTGAACTCTAGTTGAACTTTTCTGATGAGGACTGTGCCTGGAGTAAACCAATGGAAGACTATATTTGCAAATACAAATTTATACATAAAGTATTGCAGAGGGCTATATGTTTTCCATCAAAGAGTAGGTTTAAAAAATTATTAGCTGACCACAGAGACCTGGGAGTAGCATATGAAAGAGAATTCTAGGGGAGCTACTTTGCAAACTAGAGGAATGTGGTATCACTTTTACTTCTTTCCCATGGTGATCGCATAGTGTGTGACAAGTAAAGATTGACTTCTACACAGAGATGAAGCATTTCCCAAGACCAATAGGGAGATTAATCTCACAATGATCTAGGATAGGTTAATGTTCTTCCTCCCTTTATTCAGCTTTTAGAAAATGGCTTATAATTTTTGTCTTCAGAGATGTACGGTTGCTTTCCATGAACAATAACCCACTAGGCCAGGTTTGGCTTAATGTTCAGACAGGTTCCGGCTGTAGCAGAGGTAGCATAATCCATCACCTGAGGGCACATGAGGCTGCACCGGATTTGAAGAATAGAAGTCAGGAATAATCAAAGGGCATTTAGATACTGAGGTGAAGTGCTGATTTGGAAACACAATTTTAATGTGAGTCTTCCTGGCCTGGCATGAAGATAGGCCTCCTGGGGAAAATTTCATCCTTTTATCTTTGAGATATACTATGCGAAAGGTTCTGTGGGTAGCTTCCTTTCCAGACAAAGAGAAACTGATAGACATTGGGCTGATGATTTTCTCATGGCCAAAGAGGCCAACACAACAATCCTGGGTACTTGAGTGGTGGTGAGATGAGGAGAAGCAGGTGCTTCATATATTGAGCATCTCACCTCCCAGCATGGGATCAGCAGCCACCTTTGAACCTTTGGTCCTTTCAAATCAAATACTGGCAATTTCACTTTGATTACAGGGCCAATTACTTTTTCCTACTATAATCTTCTAAGTATTCAACCAGATTATGTAAAATTGCAATTAACAACCTGTGAGATCTGTCTTTTCTACAGACTTTGAGCACCAGCAGCATTCTAGTTTCTAGCTGTTGGATGAGTTAGAACTGATGATAACTCTATAGCAAAACTGAAACAAACTATCTTCATCCCAACTGACATTTTAAAGATGTCTATTTAACACTCCTACATTATTAAAGCAAGTAGTTGAATGGGAGAGCAAGATGGGCCTTACAGCAATGCATACTTTTTTGACTGAGGAAGAAGCAAGCAGGTGATTTCACTCATATTCTTATCCTTATGGTACATGATGAAGCAATAAATGCTGTGGAATCAATGTTATAAAAGCTGGGGCTCCATAACATATTTTGAATATCTTATGTGGATCTGGGTCTAACCCAGGCATAGTGAGAAGCAAAGAGGGGAGTCACCTAACGTTATATTGTTACTTACCCCCGCCCCCCCCCCCCCCCCCCCCCGATTCCTTCTTATTCTTGTGAACAGAGATTTTTGAATCCAAAAGTAGGACTCACCTGTTTGAGCCTGGGATTCTAGGTCAAACTGTACCCACTATGTTTTCCATAGAGTAGTCCCTGTGCAGCTATGCCAAACAGTTTCATTTGTTTTACCAAGAATGGAAATGATCCAGAATTGATCAAAACTTGGACTTGCCACTTTAGAGCAGGGTCATTCCCTAAGTTGGCATAGAATCTCAAGTCTCTTTCTCTTTTCTGCTTCTTGGAAGTTGAGAGAATTTACGAAGCTGAAAAAAGAATGATGTTTTCCTAGAAAGAATTGAAGTTGTTCTTATCTTGCCCCTTGGTATACCATTCATCATAAGGTTACATATTTCCCCAAGGCAGGGTGGGAAAAGGTTTCTCAAGGCAGGGTGAGAAAGAAGCTTGTTGGTGAATGAGGGATGAAGAGTTGGTAGAGATAAAAGGAGAAGGACTACATTCTCACCACTATTATGCAACATAATTTTGGAAGTTTTAGCCATAGCAATCAGAGAAGAAAAAGAAATAAAAGGAATCCAAATCAGAAAAGAAGAGGTAAAGCTGTCACTGTTTGCAGATGACATGATACTATACACAGAGAATCCTAAAGATGCTACCAGAAAACTACTAGAACTAATCAATGAATTTGGTAAAGTAGCAGGATACAAAATTAATGCACAGAAATCTCTGGCATTCCTATATACTAATGATGAAAAATCTGAAAGTGAAATCAAGAAAACACTCCCATTTACCACTGCAACAAAAAGAATAAAATACCTAGGAATAAACCTACCTAAGGAGACAAAAGACCTGTATGTAGAAAACTATAAGACACTGATGAAAAAAATTGAAGATGACACAAATAGATGGAGAGATATATCATGTTCTTGGATTGGAAGAATCAACATTGTGAAAATGACTATACTACCCAAAGCATTCTACAGATTTAATGCAATCCCTATCAAACTACCAATGGCATTTTTCACAGAACTAGAACAAAATTTTTCACTATTTGTATGGAAACACAAAAGAACCTGAATAGCCAAAGCAATCTTGAGAAAGAAAAACGGAGCTGGAGGAATCAGGCGCCTGTACTTCAGACTATACTACAAAGCTACAGTAATCAAGACAGTATGGTACTGGCACAAAAGCAGAAATATAGATCAATGGAACAGGATAGAAATCACAGAGATAAACCCACACACATATGGTCACCTTATTTTTGATAAAGGATGTAAGAATATACAAAGGAGAAAAGACAGCCTCTTCAATAAGTGGTGCTGGGAAAACTGGACAGCTACACATAAAAGAATGAAATTAGAATACACCCTAACACCATACACAAAAATAAACTCAAAATGGATTAAAGACCTAAATGTAAGGCCAGACACTATAAAACTCTTAGAGGAAAACATAGAACACTCTATGACATAAATCACAGCAAGATCCTTTTTGACCCACCTCCTAGAGAAATGGAAATAAAAGCAAAAATAAACGGATGGGACCTAATGAAACTTAAAAGCTTTTGCACAGCAAAGGAAACCATAAACAAGATGAAAAGACAGGCCTCAGAATGGGATAAAATATTTGCAAATGAAGCAACTGACAAAGGATTAATCTCCAAAATTTGCAAGCAGCCCATGCTGCTCAATATCAATAAAACAAACAACCCAATCCAAAAATGGGCAGAAGACCTAAAGAGACATTTCTCCAAAGAAGATATACAGATTGCCAACAAACACATGAAAGGATGCTCAACATCACTAATCATTAGAGAAATGCAAATCAAAACTACAATGAAGTATCACCTCACACCAGTCAGAATGGCCACCGTCAGAAAATCTGCAAACAATAAATGCTGGAGAGGGTGTGGAGAAAAGGGAACCCTCTTGCACTGTTGGTGGGAACGTAAATTGGTATAGCCACTATGGAGAATAGTATGGAGATTCTTTAAAAAACTACAAATAGAACTACCATATGACCCAGCAATCCCACTACTGGGCATATACCCTGAGAAAACCATAATTCAAAAAGAGACATGTACCACAATGTTCATTGCAGCTCTGTTTACAATAGCCAGGACATGGAAACAACCTAAGTGTCCGTTGACAGATGAATGAATAAAGATGTGGCACATATATACAACTGAATATTACTCAGCCATAAAAAGAAACGAAATTGAGTTATTTATAGTGAGGTGGATGCACCTAAAGTCTGTCATACAAAGCGAAGTAAGTCAGAAAGAAAAACAAATACAGTATGTTAACACATATATGTGGAATCTAAAAAAAAAAAAAAGGTTCTGAGGAACCTAGGGCAGGACAGTAATAAAAATGCAGATGTAGAGAATGGACTTGAGGACAAGGGGAGGCAGAAGGGTAAGCTGGGACGAAGTGAGAGAGTGGCATGGATATGTATTCATTCCCAAATGTAAAATAGATAGCTAGTGGGAAGCAGCTGCATAGCACAGGGAGATCAGCTCGGTGCTTTGTGACCACCTAGAGAGGTCAGATAGGGAGGTGGGAGGCAGACACAAGAGGGAGGAGATATGGAGATATATGTATACATATAGCTGATTCACTTTGTTATACAGCAGAAACTAACACAATGTTGTAAAGCAATTATACTCCAATAAAGATGTTGAAAAAACAAAACAAAACAGGAGAAGGACTAACCTGTGAGCTCTCTTCAAGAGGAACAAATACAAAGTATTAGCTTTCTCTGTTGTTTGTGTTTTTCCTTGCAGATACCTTGACTGTGAAGAATGGTTTCAATAAGGAGGACAGAATGACTTCTGACAGGAAGGTTGGGAGCTGTGACATGCAGAAGAAAAATGAAGCCAATCAGCATGGAGGTATGTCATCACTACTGGGTTTTACCTTAATCTACACTCAGTTATCAACTTCTTTTCAAAATGGTTGGCACTCATTCAAGAGATAGCATACATATTCTGACTTTGAAGTAATGGAAGAACTTTCAGGTACAGTGTATTGAAATAAGTCTCACCAGTTTCTTCCCAGACTGTGAATTCATTAATATATCTATCCATTCAAGAGTCATTTTGTTTACTTATTTATTTTGTATTGATTGATTGATTGATTTTTGGCTACATTGGGTCTTCATTGCTGTGCACAGGCTCTCTGTAGTTGTGGCGAGCAGGGGCTACACTTCGTTGTGGTGTGTGGGCTTCTCATTGCTGTGGTTTCTCTTGTTGTGGATCAAGGGCTCTAGGTGCGCGGGCTTCAGTAGTTGCAGCACGTGGGCTCAGTAGTTATGGCTCACGGGCTCTAGAGCTCAGGCTCTGCATCTGTGGTGCACGGGCCTAGTTGCTCCGCGGCATGTGGGATCTTCCCAGACAAGGGATCGAACCCGTGTCCCCTGTGTTGGAGGGCAGATTCTTAACCACTGCACCACAGGGAATTTCCCAAGAGTCATTTATTGAGAGCTCATTATGTGATAGGCATAGTGGTAAGTACTATAGATTATCAACCACTTAGTTCCTAGAAATTTGAAATATTGCAAGCCAATTATGAATAAGATGGGATCCTGATTGACTCCAGAGATGCCCTAGTTGTTGCTCAGAAGTCAAGGTACTAGCCTTCTGTGTGCTATTCTCTGTGTGTTATCCTGTATAACATTTACAGCAAGTGAACCCTTATATTTTTCAGCATGGATCTTGTGCCTATTGTTATTTACAGTGTAATGCTACAGTGATACCTGCATAAACTCACAGGCACGAATTTAGGAAATTCGTGAATTGATTCGTGAATCAAAGAAGAAGTCTTGAGATAAGACAGAAAGAAAGTACCTGACAAAAACAAGGAGAAGTACACATTGTTGGGTGGGAGGGTGGGGGAGGAGAAACAAAATTGTAACCATCAGTAACAGGACTCATGAATAAGTTACCCTTTTGATGGTCACAGTGAAAGGAATGTAGGTGATGAGAGCCTCCAGTGGAGAGGAAGAATGTCAAAGAAGAGTTAGTAGGTGGCCTGTGCCCTTCTAGTACCTGGGAAGGAAAACAATGAAACCCTGAGCAGTGGCAGCCAAGGTCAGGGTTAGTAGAGAGGAGATGGTGGTTTAGCTGTGGAGCTCGGGCAGGACTTTCCTGGCCACTTTAAGGCTCAGTGTATGCTGTGCAGGAGGGTGTTTTATGGAGAGAGTGGGCCAGCTACCAGTGAAGATGTGGCAAACACACTGTGGGAGGGGTTGAAGAATCAGACTTAATGTCTGATTTCTGTGATAGCTTAGAATTTTAATTAAACACCTTAACCAAACTTCCTAGTAGGAGGGTTTGTCCTGTATTTCAAATGTTTCCCAAGTGCTGGGAAATGGAAATTTTCAACTGGCAGCATTTCATAATTCTGATTACCTGGGGAAATTAGTATAGCAAGTATAGGTTTCATTCTCAAATCACACATACCTCTTCCCCAAGAAATGTAAGTTTAATCATATTGTTACTTGAAGTGTCAGTTTCTAAGAAGGTTGAGTTGCAGCATAGCCTGTATAGGAGCGATGCATTTTGAAGAAATCTCATGTGCGCTCCTACACTCAAATCTCAGAGAATCAAAATAAGAACCTCTTAGTTTGTAATAAACAATCAAATCTCAAGTGAACTCTATAGCCATTTGAAAAACACTGCTGTCCTTTCTTCAGAGGTTAATGCTAATAGATGTCTTGGGCCCCTCTTGACGGTGGGTGTCATGGTGCTGGAATGGTAATGATAACTCAGCCAGCCAGTGCTTGTCTGAACACAGTCTCCTGAGAGCAGGTGCTGTGAAATAGAAAAGACAAGGAAGACACAGGAAGACTAGGTCGTGAAGGAAGATGAGTTCACTGTCAGGAGTGTTTGGATTGGGAGAAATACTATCCAGTAACTATAGAAGACAGCAAAGAAAAGTCATTAACCCATTCCAAATGGTGGGAGAAGAGAAAAGCAAAGTGGGGAAGTGAGGGCAAAAAAAAAAACCCATCACCAAATTGAAAAGAAAACACTTCTAACAAAAACTAGATTGATGAATGACCTTTAGCTGTGGAAAGATACTATTCTAATGAAACATGAACTGAAAGGATTTCTTCTGAGGGCTAATTTACATTTTTTCCTTTTCAGTCTTCAACATATTTTAGTAGATGCATGGTTCTGCATGGTTAGTATCTTTGTCTCTCTGAAAAAGAAAAATGGGTCAGCTTGATATAGCCTGATGTACGTAGTCAGTCAGGTGATCCCTGTGAGAGACATGACTAAAGTCAGATCAAGTCTTGTTAGGAGAGGGGACATTTGGGGGCTTGCCCTGAGGTGGTATTTTATGATTTAGTTTATGGAGGGATTTTCCTTCCCAGCTGAGCATGGCTGACACTGATCTTGTTTCAGGGAAGCAAGACTCTTCTAAGAGGTGCTGAGGGCATTTGCCCAAGTACTCCAATGGTACTTGGATGGAAGACATTTGTGGTGGGCAAAAAATAGCTCCCCAAAGATGTCCATATCTTTATCTGAGAACTGTGTGTTATATTACTTTACACATGAAAAGGGGCTTTGCAGATGTGATTAAGGTAAGGATCTTAACATGAAAGATCCTGGATTATCTAAGTAGGCCTGATCTAATCACACATATCTTTAAAAGTTGAGAAACATTCATAGCTGGGTCAGAGACAGATGTGATGATAGAACAAGGATGAGATAGACATACTGTGAGAAGGACTCATCCCACAGTCGCTGGCTTTGAAAATGGAGGAAGGGGGCTGTGAACCAGGGAATGTGGGTGGCTTCTAGAAACTGGAAAAGTCAAGGAAAGGGAGCTTCCAGAAACAAACACAGCTGACCTCTAGAATTGAAAGATAATAAATTTATGTTGTTTTAAGGAACGAAGTTTTTGGTCATTTGTTATAGTAGCAAAAGAAAACTATCTCTTTGTTGTCTCTTGCTAGTTTGTTTCATGAATTCTGTCTAAATAATAAAGCTGTCATGTCAGGCTAGCTCCCTAAGGAAAATCTTGACCATAGAACATGATTTTAAAGGCTGATTAAGTAAATAGGCCTACCAGTAGATACTTCAACACATTAATATATTCACTCTTTTTATGCACAAATAATTTTTGAGCCCCTATTATCAGCCAAGCATTTTATTAGGTTCTAGGATGAAAACCTGAGTGATGACAGATTCCATCCTGCCCTCGAGGAGGAGCTTATGGATTTGTTGGGGGAGACCGACTATCAAACCAGCAATTCCAACGTATGGAGTGGATAAACTTGCCTTTCTTTGTTATCCTCACTATGGGTATTTAGAGTTCACCTTCCTTTACTAAGTTAAACCAGTCACCACTCCATCCAATTTTCATCTTCCACAGATTTGTTTAAATGTGGGGTTTATTGCCATGTCTCTTGTTCTTTTTACCTGTTTCTAGGGGTAATGAGGCTTATATCTCCTGTGTATTATTGACGTTGGTTTTCTCTTAGGAACTTGGTGCAGCGTGACCCTGCATCATCCTTCTGGAAAAATAAACCATAAAACAATCCCTCCCTGTGCTAGTGCTAAAGTAGGAGAAAGGAAATAAACAAGGCAGCTTCCTGAACTATAGCCTTGATTGCAGGAGGTAAGCTAGGTACATACAGAACTTGCAAATAATTTAACATTTCTTTCTGCTGAGGTAGTTCAGAATAAGTTGGAATAAATTATGAACAGGAATTATTTAGTAAATAAAATAATTCAGGTCATAATTTTTTGTTGCCACCCATTATTTTCTAGAATCAGAAATCCTAAAGAACCTGTTGGCAGCTTCTCCTGGTGAAGACATATCTTCCATCACTGGTGATCAGCTTCCTAATTCTGACAGATACATCTGCCCAGGAAAGTACCTGGACCAAGAATAACTAGGTTAGTCTTTCTCCCTGCCCCCCACCCCACTTCTTTTGTTGACTATACTAACAAAGGGACAGTATCAGGCAAAGGGAAAAATACATCTATTACCAAGCAAAAATGTTTGAGAAACTCACATCTGTAGAGTTCTCTGCCTGTTAACATCTAGTCAAATATTTTTTTCTGAAAGGATGGCCTTCAATTCCTTTCCTGTGTTTTAAGGTGATGCCCTTTTCAAAACACAGCCCTGATTCATACAGATTAAATAGTGTTTGAATTGGCTAGAAAGAGAATATAAGAAGTGGATGTACTTATTCATTTCTGTTGGTCCTTTCTTTAGATTTCAGACATTGTGGTTCTGTGGCAAGTCTGGTCTCTTTGGCTAACCTCTGCAGGAAGGGTACAGTGACACTGGAAGGGAGCATGCAGAAGTGGCAGGTGAATGAGAGAAATTATGTTGAGTTAAATCCATTCAGGGAGGTGATTTGTGGCCATGTGATAAAATGTACAGATGTTAATTGCTTTTCCTCTTCTCATGCATGATTGCCTTGCTGTCCTACCTCACCTGTGTGTGCCTGCAGAGAGTACATGATAGATGTTACAAATAGGAGGTTCAGAGAGGGTGTAGTGTGAGAACAAAGGTGCTGGGAGTTGGCGCATGACAGATTAAGGGAAGAGCGGACGACAAGCCTGGGCAGAGAAAAGAAGCAATATTCAGGCTAGAAGGGCAGACAGCCAGAGCCTGAGATTATCACAAAACTCCAAAGGCAAGGCCATGAATTGATAAGGGATTTCCCTGTCTTCCATCACACATGAAGAAATCATCTTACCTATTCTGAAGATTCAAGTGTCTAACTAGAAATTCCATTTGGGATGGAAAAATGCCAGAACTGTTCCCCACCCTCTAACTGATTTGTTCACGGCAATCTTCATACCAAAGCGACATGTCACGTTTGACACAGATGACATGGGCACCTAGGGAGAGATAATTCCCAGGCTCCAGCCATGCCTGACACACTCAAAATTTAGATATCCAGAGAGGATGAGGAACCTGCACAGAATATTTAACAGGAGAAAACACAATGGGGTTGGAGAAAAATCAAGAAACATTGGGCTCACAAAAGCCAAAGAGGAGAGTTTCATGGAGTGAATTGTGGAATAACAGAGAAAATAGAATAACATGTGAAGAGATGTGTCTACGTGTCTACTGGATTTGGAAACATGATATGGAAAGAAGCCAGGTTAGAATGGGTTTTTCATTAACTAATTCTTGATGTCCACATACTTTTTTTTTTGAGTACTTATTATGTAGCGGACATTATTCTGGGTGTTTGGGGATTGATGGATGCGAAAAGAGACATGATGTCTACTTTCATGGTGGCTCATGGAGGGAGGCAAATAAAAAAGAAAACCCCAATTACAAAGACAGGAATGACATTGGAATATTGGAGGAAGTAAAAAAAAGGTCATTTAATCTAAGGCATAGTGATTGACAGAATGGAAGAATTAAGAGAAAATATGAGATGACCAGGGGCCGGATCACAAGGGAAAGGTCTTGTAGATTACATGGTAAAGGATTAAAATTTTATTCCACATGCAACGGGAAGACTTTACAGTAGATTTTGCATGGGTGCAATGCGATTTGATTTTAAAAGTGAATGAGAGGTGAGGAAGTGGAGATCATAGAGTCAACTTCCTCAAGATATGTGCTGGGTAGAGTAGTAACTAACACCTTATTTAATACTTGTCATGAAACAGTCAATATTTTAACTATTATTACCATCACTAATTTAATACTACCTACTCCTACAATGGAGCAGGAGCTATTATTAGTCTTACTTTGCTTATAGGTAAGGAAACTGAGGCACAGAACAAAAGTGGAGGCTTTTTTGTTTTTACTTGATTGTTTTTATTTTGATAGGACAGAGGTAGAGCTTTTATTTTAATAAGAGAGAAAATAGAGAATATGGGCATAAATTCAGGTAGGTTCATTATTTGACAGAAGTTATGAGCTTACGCCTTACGGTGTCAATTTTCTCAGTGCTCATCAGTTGAGGAAGAAAGAGCTGGGTGGCTCAAGGATGAAAAGTGACCTGGTGGGAGAGTAGGATATCAATGTGCTGGGAAATGTTTAACAACTTGTTTTCCTCTAAAAGCTTATCCTTTACAGGTAGATCTATAATCTGTTTATAGTTAACTTTTTAGTATGATGTGAGGTAGGCATCAAAATGCATTAGCTTTCAGATGAAAATCCAATTTACCCAGCACTATTTATTAAAATGACTATCCTTTTTTTACTAAATCACAGGGTCACCTTTGTCAACTAGTTGACTTTATATGTCTGGGCCTGTTTCTGGAACCCTTCACTCTGCTCCATTGGTCAGTTGAAAACCTTTGTTTTTTCACTAACATTTTCAGTCTCTACAAGGAAGGCTCAAATAAGACCTCTTGGGTTTGCTTTTACAACTATCAGGAATTTTATTGAGGTCAAGTATAAATATCTACATATGAAATATAAGGTCTCCCGTATTATCTTCTCCAAATACAATGTGAGATAGATAAGAACTAGTATGATGCACTGCTCAGATTCTCCTACAGGACAGAAAGTCTTATTTCTTTAACTGCTGGGAATGCTGTCAACATCCAGCCCTTAGCTGCCAGTCCTCTTCAAGATTGCCATAGACAGCTACCTGGCCCAAAGTCATGTCCCCTTCCTGGGGCAGCCCACATCAAACGACTCCTCTTATGGACAGCTGTTATCGTGGAATGAGAAGCTAAAGGGCTCAGGAGGCAGAGGCACTATGGAGATCAGTGGAACTTTACCTGTGTCTGCTGGTGGAGATATTCCTCTAACTCTGAAAAGCCCTGAGTTGCAACAACAGGAAGCTTCTCCAAGAACTTCGAGAATCTCCCTAAGTGGGTCACCAGGAGTGATGGTAAGTGGGGCCACTTCTACTTCCACTTCTTAGTTCCTGGACCCATGTATTCAACCTATTAGGGATCTATTAGGAACCATTTAAAGGTCAACGATTTAAAGTACAACATTCTAAAGGATGGCACTCCTGTGCAATACTCCTTGCAAGGTATTGCCTCTGATCTGTCATTTTAGCGAGTTCTCCTTCGTATAGTATGAGCTAGTAGATTCTGCGGTCACGTGCTGACTCCTGTACTTCCTTTGTTGTTGTTCTCTTGATGTGAGGTGATATAATGTGGGATGCTGGGACAGTGGGTCAAATACCTTCCAAGCTCTCAGGCCTGCACATAGGAGAGGCTAACCCCTACCTGGAATATTTGCATATTAGTGTAAGAATGAATTGTTACCTTTTCCAAGGTGGAAGGGGTCTAATGTGGTCAAATACCACGAACTGGCTGGTTGGGTTTTTTTTTTTTTGAATTTTATTTTATTTTTTTATACAGCAGGTTCTTATTAGTTATCCATTTTATACATATTAGTGTATATATGTCAATCCCAATCTCCCAATTCATCATACCACCACCCCTGCCACTTTCCCTGTCTTGGTGTCCATACGTTTGTTCTCTACATCTGTGTCTCTATTTCTGCCCTGCAAACTGGTTCATCTGTAACATTTTTCTAGGTTCCACATATATGCGTTAATATATGATATTTGTTTTTCTCTTTCTGACTTACTTCATTCTGTATGACAGTCCCTAGATCCATCCACATCTCTACAAATGACCCAATTTCATTCCTTTTTACGGTTGAGTAATATTCCATTGTATATATGTACCACATCTTCTTCTTTTTTTTTTTAACATCTTTATTGGAGTATAATTGCTTTACAATAGTGTGTTAGTTTCTGCTTTATATCAAAGTGAATCAGCTGTGCATATATATATGTCCCCATATCTCTTCCCTTTTGCATCTCCCTCCCTCCCACTGTCCCTATCTCACCCCTCTAGGTGGTCACAAACTGCCAAGCAGATCTCCCTATGCTATGCGGCTGCTTCCCACTAGCTATCTATTTTACATTTGGTAGTGTATATATGTCCATCCCACTCTTTCACTTTGTCCCAGTTTACCCTTCCCCCTCCCCATATCCTCAAGTCCATTCTCTAGTAGGTCTGTGTCTTTATTCCTGTCTTGCCCCTAGGTTCTTCATGACCATTTTTTTTTAGATTCCATATATATGTGTTAGCATATGGTATTTGTTTTTCTCTTTCTGACTTACTTCACTCTGTATGACAGACTCTAGGTCCATCCACCTTACTACAAATAACTCAATTTCGTTTCTTTTTATGGCTGAGTAATATTCCAGTGTATATATATGCCACGTCTTCTTTATCCATTCATCTGTTGATGAACACTTAGGTTGCTTCCTTGTCCTGGCTATTATAAATAGAACTGTAATGAACATTGTGGTACATGACTCTTTTTGAATTATGGTTTTCTCAGGGTATATGCCCAGTAGCAGGATGGCTGGGTCGTATGGTAGTTCTATTTTTAGTTTTTTAAGGAACCTCCATCCTGTTCTCCATAGTAGCTGTATCAATTTACATTCCCACCAACAGTGCAAGAGGGTTCCCTCATACCAGTTAGAATGGATATCATCAGAAAATCTACAAACAACAAATGGTAGAGAGGGTGTGAAGAGAATGGCTGGTTGGTTTTATTATTGTATAATAAACCACCCCATAACTTAGTGACTTAAAATAACAATTCTGTTTTACTCATGATTTCCTGGTTTAGGAAGTCAGGAAGGACTCAGCTGGCCAGTATGTCTCTGGTCCACATGGCTGTAGCTGGGGTGTCTGAGGCTAGAGGATTCACTTCTAAGGAGGCTTTTTCCTCAGATGTTTGGAGTCTCTGTGTACCTTGGCCTCTCTCTCTCTCTCCCTCTCCGTGACATCTCGTTGTTCAGGGACTCTATAGTTGGCTTGTTTTCTCATAGCATGGTCATCTCAGGGTAGATGTCTCAAGCTGCTTATTTGACAGCTGGTATCTCTCAAACAAGAGTTCCAGGAAAGAGGTTTCTGAGAGGTCCGTTCTGAGAGGTGCA